AAATACCAGGTTTTGGTGTCAGAAACTTAGAAGTTGCTTATCCAGAGTGCGTTTATTGGAACATTAGCTGGGGGGAGAAGGAGGATAGGCAAAAAATCCCTGTGCTCTAACAGTGTACAGAGTCCATCTAAAACTGACTTGAGATTTTATTCCAAAGTGTTAATTGAAAAAAAGGGGGGCTTCTTTCCTGTCAGCTGGAAAGTTTGTTTCCCTGAAGTATTATTGTTCACATAACAGCTGATGGGTTGTGCTGTCCAAATATTAAGCATCCAAGCTGGATTTTAAGTTTCCAGCAGTGCGGTAACTCTAATGCTATTATGGGCCTTCTTACTGGGAGGTGGAGGTAGGGTGAGGGGACAATCGGTTTGTTCTTTCTTATGAGTGTGTGACTTTCCTTTGGTTTCCAGAGGGCCAGTGCTGTACTGAGTGGCTGTGCCAACAGGGTAAGGCTTCTCCTATTTGTTTTCTTCAGCAACTTTAGAGATTTCTGCCAAGAAGCAAGCAACTTGCCAGGGAAAGGCAATATAACTAAATGTATAAGTTTAAATTAAATTTAAATGGCTAAATATTTATTAGAAGTTCCTTTGCCCTCTCTCTGCCAATATATCTTCTATAGAGCCTTTATTATCCTTCTCTTTAAGTAATAATCCCACTGACCGATTTATGTTAAACTTCACATAAGTTTATCTTAATAAAGTTGCTTCCTGGTTATATGGCAGGAAATTATTTAATATTTGGCTTGCTGTGTTTTCTCTGATGTACATCAACAGAAACAACTGAGTTATCTACAGTGTGAGTCTTTATTATTTTCATGTGTGCATGGCATTTTAGCTTTAGTTAATGGTTTACAAGACTTATTTAAGTTTGAGGCTAACTAAATATAGGTAGATGCATCATTTTTAAAGCGTAATATTTGCTGCGCTTACTGTGTTCCAAATGCTGTGTAAAGAAGTAGAAACATTTCATGTGGCTCAAGTCCAATAGTCACTCTCCTATGCCTGCTTTAATCTTCTAGCTGTATTAGCTTCTATTGTTAATCTAAAATGCTCTTGCTATTTTAGGAGATGCCTACGTAACACACATTGCCAGCAATTGTACTACATACTGCTGACCCAGTTGCTCAGGTACCCTGCCTGTCTTTGTTGCTATGGGAGATTGGAAGACTATTACTGTGCCAGTGCTGTCATCAGGTAAATTGGTAATATTTTGAATTTAGTGGATTTGCTAACTTTACCAGCGATGTTATAGCTGCTAAAGAGAGAGAAAGAGGTTGGAGTTTCGTGCATGACATATTTGACTAGTCAAATCAAAATGTTAAATAATATGAAGTACATACAGCGCTTCGTTTTGGATTGAGTCCTTACAGAAATACTGGTGCAAAATACTGTCCTTTCACATATATATAAAGGTTCTGAGACTTTTCAGTCACACTTTTTTTTTTTAAATCACACCTTTCAGAGTATCTTGCATTTTCAGAGGTTTCTTTACTTGTTCTATATTCTTTTGCCCCAGAAATCGATTACAAATGTATTAAAGGAGTAAATATTTTCTTGCCTACTTCTGCCTAGTGGAAGAGTAAATTACAGCATACACTTAATGTGAGTAAGGATATCATACATTCTATAAGAATTCTCACTCAATGCACAGCTTTTGTGCCTGTGTAGGGGGGGAAATAAAATTTAAAAATTGTGTTGTAGCAAGCCAATTAGGAGAAAATTTGGGCAGTTTGGCAGTTTTTTTCTTGGCAGACAAGTAAAATTTGAAAGATACAATACCTTAACATGTTACCGAGTTTTTAAATCTTCAGTGGAAGCTTATCCTTTTTTTTTTATTGTGAAATGTTTAAAAGATGTCATTCTAGATGAAATTCTAAGCTCTAGAATTGTAAATGTCTGCAACTAATAATTTGAGTAGTTAGGGATTTGATTTTTTAAATTTTTGTGATGTGTCCTAAACTATTAGCCCTGACTTGTTTCTTAATGTTTTTAACTTTTAGATAGCAAAAATATTTTTCACTATACCTCAGAGAAAAAGATATCTCCCCCAAGCATGAACTCACAAGTGCTACGCTTGCCACTGCCTTCATCCAAAAGCACGCACAGCTTTTTCAGTGCCTTCTGCACAGAAGAGAATATTGAACAGAGTATATCCTATCTCAATAGGGTAAGCCAGATCATCTTGTTTATTGGAGGTTGCGTGAAGGTGACATTAAATCAGTTGTGGTAGTAAAGATTCACTGGATTAAGAAGGCTTCTTTCTCAATGCTCAGAAGCCAGAGTTGGTGGGGAATAGGATTTTTTTTCCCCCTTCATGTTGGTTTTCACTCAATATTGTTTCTCTCTGTTGGAGAATTGCAAGAGATTGATCCAGTTATTTATTCCCCCTCCCGCCTTGTCTTTTACCAGGAATTGACAACATTGGGCTTTCCTTCTATTTATGCAGAGTCCAAAGGAAAAGAAGTAAATTTAATATCTCTCATAAATTGCATGAATGAATTGCTTGTACTGCAGCACAAGAACCTTCGAGCTCAGGAAGAAGTAGAAATGCAGCATCTGAAACTGGGTAGCGATATGGATCACTTACAGAACTGCTATGCTAAATTAAAGGTAGAAAACAAGATAATTCCACCAATATTATACAGCACTTATGTTTAACAGATACTGTACATTCTTAACAGTGAGTGCTTTTTTTATTTTTTCTCCCCAGTACTAATCTGCAGTTGTATTTTTATGTGCATTTTGGGTTTTTTTGACAACTTTTTCAAGAAAATTCCTTTAAGTGAATGAAATGTGGATTAATGAGAGAACTGAAAACTTATTTAGAATTATGGCCTCTTTAATCAAGGAAGAGGAAAGACTGTTTGGATTGAAAGTGTTAATGCATGCTGTGGGTGAAAATGTTAAACGCTTCAGTTCATGTCATTCAGTACCACTTAAAAGGATATGCCCAGCTCTAAAAGATAAATTCCCAATATAATTGTAAACAGTAAAACTGTAGGTAGCTTTTTCTAGTGTGTGTCACAGGGTTATTACCAGTCTTTCTCCGTATCTGTAGTTTTTTCCAATTTTTTTTCTTTGTTGTTGTTGTTGGGTTCCTTGGATAGCCGGCTACAAAGTCTCTTTGTAAGAATTGCTCAGAAGCTGTTGTCAAAGCTGAAGTTACTAAGCGTCGTTTTATCACAGGATAAATACATGCACAAGGCCAATCATTGTGGAGTAGCTGGTACATTGGAAGTTCACAGCCTATGCTACTTCATGGGTATTTGTATGTGCAGTAATATTAGAAGAGTGTTGTCTTTCCCCTAATTGTGCCAAGAAAATTGGGGGGGGGG